ACAACGATTTCATTGTCACTCGGTATAAACATGGACAGAAATTAATCTAGAGAGAATAGTTTTCCGAAAGATTAATAGCCACGACAAAATTTATTCCAGTCTCCATTCGCTATATACGAGTATGTATACTGTTTATGTAGAAATTAGAGAGCGCAATACTACCAGCAAACCGACATGATCCGTTACAAAGCATAATCATGTGTGTTACTGAAATTTATCGCTATTTCCGAACACAGTTCAGCCTATAAATTAAAATTTCCGGCAATTTAACAAAATGAGAGGGTGTGAAATTGTATTGTTTGTATAGATATACCTATATATGTCCTTGTTCAATCCATTGATTCTATTCTATATCGGTTATTTTGAAACGTAACATGAAAGTTTTTCATTCAATTACTTGTTTTATGTTCATTAGTCTGTTTCATTTTCATTGAATCGATGTGCATTGAGTTTAGGCCAGTCAATACCATCTGAATCTCTACTTATTTACGCACAGAAAAAGCGAAAGGAAGTTTTGTTTTACTTGCTTCAGAAACAATTTTTTCCCATTGTTTCTCTTTCTCTTTTCTTCAGCCTCTTTTGTTACCCTTTTCGTAGGTGTACTCGTACGAATTTGTGAGTGTTGGTTAGAAACAGTTTGTTTAGATCCTATGTTTTGGGAAATTAGAGCGAACTTGAAAATGAGTTATTTAATTTGGACGTAGACGGCAAAGAATATTGTTCGAAGTTAGAAGTCGACGGTATATTTTCCTTTAAAATTGTAGCACATTGGTTAACTTGATTGTCTGAATTTTTTTGGAGCTCAGAAGTTGGAGAATCAGTAACATTATCCACTTCATGATTTAATTCAGATAATGCGGAGTCGTTTTTTGCTTGGTCGCTCGCCTCTACAACAATTGATCTTAATTCTCGAACAATGTAGTAGAAGATCCGAACCTAAATCGATCTTCACCGAGCTGATAATAGAATGAAATATATTTTATAATGAATTTAGTTTATTAGAAAATATGTTAAAAATGGGTTCGCTAAAAAATCCTGGACAGACTATTTTTAATTATTTTTTGAAAAATGATTTNTTCGTTAGAAACTCAGGTAAAATATCAGCTACTTAAAATTCAGGTACTTCGTTTACAGGTACTTTGATTTCAGGTACTCCATAAACTATATATATATTTAGTATTGAATGTGTAGAATTAGTTGAAAGACACGCCAGATGAAGCCATTGTATGGCGAAACACGTGTTGCGTTTTTGTAAAACAATTTAGTGAAAATCTCACAATAAAGTGTTTTTAGAATACGTTAGTTATGGATTTTCATCAAGTATCGGCCGATTCCATCATATATCAAATCTATGACATCTCCTGGTGTGAAATGAATTTAAAAAAAGGACTTTCAGAAAAAACATCAGAACTACAATACTCTTTTCGAGGCGCATCTTACAGAAAAAGTTGGCGTCTTCCGAAACCTAGTTTTGGTGAAACGCGCGTTGAGAAGGGTGCTGTAGTTCTTGTGTTTGCGAAAATGTGTTCATTTTGAAGTGAATACTGAGATTGGACATAGCTGGCCATCGGATTGGGATGGTTATAAAGTGTGACTCAAAGCTGTCTCCTTTTCATCTCCTCTTACCATCAACACGAAAATCAAGCCATAGTATCGAATGACTCACATTTTTCAAATATCAACGACGACCAAAGTCGCAAAACTGAGGCTTTTGCAATAAGCAGCGGACATACTCAGATTATAAATGAGCCAACCACCATTCCTGACCATGATGGAGAACATGCTAGTCTTCTGGATCTACACCTAACAACCAATCCGGAAATTTACATAGTCACCGTAAGGTCTCCATTGGGATCTTCTGAGCGCAAACTCATTTAAGTGTTGAGTGAATTACCGATACATGTTGTGGAACAATTTAAGCCGCGCAAAGTTTGGCAGTACAGATCAGCTGAATGCGAGGATCTTCAAGACCATTTCCCCTGGCTTGATGTTTGTTCCAGCTCTGAAAAAACATACCCCTTTCGACGCCCAAAGGATTTTCCTCCAGCAGTACTGGATGCACTTCTCTTAAAAATTGAACGTATGCCTCACCATTTAATCGAGCAGGTAGAAAATGAGGCAAAATTAAATCATCCCCAATAACTCCGAGCCACACGTTAAGAGAAAACTGTTCTTGATGGTTAGTTTCGACAATAGCTTGGGGGTTTCCATCAGCCCATATGTGGTAATTATGAAAATTAATAATCTTGTCCCGAGAAAAACTACTTGCAGATGGTGAGGGTATAAGAGTTTTAAAATTCGAAATACTATCATATGATCAACATTTAGCTGGAAAGCAATCTTTCCAGTACTGGTAGTAGGTTGTTCTACAATCAAATTAAGTACTGCTTCCTCAAGCTGTGGTGTTCGTACTTCTCGATGGCGACCACAATCCTGCGTTCTTTTGTCGAATGAACCATATTCTCGTAATCGTTGATGAAGTCGAGCAAATATTCTNGTGTGTTGGGGTTGTTTTTCTGTCCGTTGAAATATTTTTGGGTATAGGTCTCTCATAATAAGTAATCATTTAAAAAAATCAGCATACACAAATATTTTGATGTAGTTACCAAATTTGGAAGCTATAAGGGTGTCAAATGTTGATCAATTGCAGATTACAACCATTTTTCTATATGTCATATAGGATTGTATCCAATTCATCATATTTCGTGGAAACCCGAGCATTGACAGTTTGTTGATGAGAAGTTCCTTGCACACACTATCAAACGCTTTTGATAAGTCGAAGAATAGTGAGATTAAATAATGTTTCATCAATCTTTATGTGTTTGTAATCTAGAGGGTGGTAGGAAGCTGTATCCATAGATTTATTTTTCCTGAAACCATGCTGAGACATAGATAGCAGCCTATTTGTTTCCAAATGATCCATAAACCTAAGTGCTACAACTTATTCAAATAATTTAGGAAATAATGATAGTTATAGCCTGTATATATTCGAAAACAGGAACAAAAATAAAATTGTACCTATTTGTTTACGACTTCCATTTAGACCAAAAACCCCTTTACATAATACTACCGTTCTGAATTTTTTTAGATTTTTGTAGTTTTTCAGTTTTCAGAACACCAAAATACATACAAAACATCTAAACAGTCTGAAACATCCAGACAGCTTTTCTGTTGCAGACTTGTAATAATCTATGATTCATACCCCATAGTTTACCCAATGTTTCATTATTAGTTTTTCTAGCCGTTGATCCACCGATAAAACATTTCAGTTATTCTGGTGTAGTGAAATTGTTGTCTCAAAAAAACAAGACTATCCTAGTCCGATACTGATTCTAGTTAGGACAAATCAGCCAGCACCATTTTATCGCTGGTGGTTTTTGTGGTTTGTTCATTCCAAACCACCGGCACCGGCAGTAGGTACTCACAATGAGATAAAATGTATTCCATGAAAAGAAAATAATAATCAGTCAAAATTGTGCACAAACTAGGTGGTTGCGATGATTGGTGTTTTCGAAGTTTGAAATTAACCGTGTTTTTTTGGAAAATAAGACGATCATCTCATCGACCATGCAGTGCTGTAGTTCCGATATGATACGGGAACAAAAAAGAATCAACGCTGAAATCGATAAACAGCTACGAAAGGACAAGCATGCTTTACGAAGAGAAATCAAGTTGCTTCTTCTAGGTAAGTCTGATTTTTGCTGATGAGATGGGTAAAAGCAACACCTGATTTCGGTTTCTACTTTCAGAAAATGATAATATACATTCTCAGGCTTATAGAATGACAAAATAGTTCAAACTAACTAGAAACTTGTACAATATATGGGATGAAATTACAAAATTTTGTCAAAAAATTAATTTTCATTTTTCTTTAATATTCATTTAGTCATCAATTTCTATTTTTTCCCTNCATCACTTTATATACTTGAGACGGTGAGCCTCATACACAAGAATAGACATACCTTACATAGATCCCTGAATCATCGTGAATCGAGGCAAAGCTCTCTCTTCAGACTACCTATCCCCTCCAGCAATTTAATAAAGGATTCAATCATCTATAATGGGATTGAAATCTACAACCATCATCCGACAGTTATAAAGGACAGCGCATGCATTAACCGTTTCAGAAAATCGTCCAAAACACTACTGCTTGAAATCTCACCTTATACCCTTAATGAATATTTTCCTCCACTTTTGACTAATTATCTTCGTATCTGTATATTTGCTACGTGGGCTGCTCATAAAACATTTCAGTATGTATTCATATATGAACATAAAAATCATGTGTAGAGGTGTAAAACATGTATAAATATAAATTTATGTGTATTAGTATTAGGATTTAGATATTGAGATTTTTACGTAGATATAATCTAACTAATTGTTTGAACAAATCACATTGTAAAGTTTCGTCTACGAGAATTATGTTCTTCTGACAATAAAGTATATCTTGATTGATTGATTGATTGATTGATTGATTGATTGAGTGATTGATTGATTGATTGATTGATTGATTGATGAGAACAATACTCCAAAGAAGGTCTGATCTGAGCTTTTTAAAGCATCAAAAGTTGCTGGGCTGTGTATAGTGTTCTGGTTCGGAACAGTAATCCAAGCTTTTAAGAAGCAGCCTTTGCAATTTCAGCGACATAATTGTGCCAATACATATTAGTGTCCATTTTAACCCTCAACATACTTATCGAAGCAGAAAGCGGAATTGTCCTGACATTATTATATCCGATTCGGAGACATTCATCTTCTTGGAGAAAACCGATGCCTTGGTTTTCGTGGCATTGGCTACATTCACGCTAATTCGAAATCACGTCTAGATCCTTATTGAGATATACAACGTCCTACTGCCGGTGAAGATATCCCTCCGTAGCCGACGTCTTGGAATTCAAATGGAATGACAAGTGTGCTGTCGTCAGCAAAGCAATATATTGGATTCTTGGTTCTTTCCAATGAGCCGTTGATATACAATAAAAAGAGGGTTGGAGAAAATATGGATCCCTGGGAAACACAAGCGTTGACGCTGAAGGTACTCGAGAAATATCCATCGACAGCCACTTGCGGAGAAAGTTTTTTCAGGAAGCTACAGAGCCATAAACAAAAATTATCCGACAAGCGATACCATCGAAGTTTGGCCAGCAAACCCTCATGCTACACACGGCCAAAGGCCTTAGTACATAAATTCATGATAATATCGAGTATATCAGGTACGTGAACCGCTTCAGGTAGTGGGTTGAGGTCTTTAAGAAGATAATATCAGTGTCTTTGAAGTCTTCTAGAAGCCTTAGCAGGTCCCTGCCTTCTGGTGTTCGATTATATAGTTCCATTCGCACGATTGCGCGTTGGAATCGGCAATAGTCACTATTGGGTGGTTTGGATGGTTTGTGTATTTCTGATATGTCGGCTCTGTGTAAGTCTTCTGGCGGGGATAGGTACACCAAGAAGATCCTAGGCTGTTTGTCTCACGCCCTCTATGACTCTAATGATTTGCTTTATTTGTAATCTGTATTACAGAAACTGCATATATCAATCAATATCTTCAGAAAAATTGACAACTCCTTCTTTTAGGTGCGGGAGAGTCTGGCAAATCCACATTTATAAAACAAATGCGAATAATCCATGGTGCAGGCTATTCAGAGGAAGACAGGAGAGGATTCATCAAACTAATTTATAGAAACATATTCAGGTCGATGCAAGCCATGATAAATGCATTGGAATTGATGAAAATTCAATACGGAGAATCATCAACTCAGGTAGAAGTTCTGTTTGAAAAATCTGTCTAAAATCTGTTTTTCTCAGAAGTTGTGAAACTTGTGCGAGCTAAAGACTTACGAGGTGTTACCTTTCAACGTATGATTCCTAACACGGTTGCAGAATCATCCCCGCTTCAACCAGATAAATTCTCTCGAGAAAAATATCTGGTCGAGGCGGGAATCGAATCCACGGTCTTCCGATCGTGAGTCGGGCGCACTACCACCGCGGCCAATTCCACAACAATTTTTCATGAAATACAGAATCCTGCAAAATTCAAACTGGAGATCAATATGCCAGTGATTCTTCAATCGACTTCATATAAATTTTTATCTTGGCCTAATGATTAGCTAAAAATTCAATCGGGAAAACCCAACTCAGTAGGTAATAGAGATGCAAAAAATATCAACTTCAATGTCCATTTCTGGCAATGTATTTATTGTTTCATTTAGAGACTTTGAAAGACTGGGGCTAATGAAAATTATTTTTGTAAGTGTAGTTATGTGAGTAGAGTTTAGTTTCAATCTTGGATTTCATGTATGAGTTACTTTTGAAGTTGTGGGTGAAATATGTAAGTTAAGATTATTTTAGTAAGTAGACATGGTGCCAAATCAACCGTATATATAAATATGTGTGTATGAAAATTCTTATAAATGTGCTGTAAAAATAAATGGTTTCATTCCCATCCAGACCCTTTACACAGTTATCACATTGATTTGTGCTAACAAGAATTTCAGAAGAGAATGAGAATTCAAACTGCTTATAGGTGATAATAAAGTGAAGTAAGTTTATTGACTACGTTACATACTCGAATATGTTTGTAAAAAGTCATTCACAGTCAAAATGAGTCATAAATATTGGACAATACAAACTTTTTGAATATAAGACAGCTCAAACATTTTAAAAATCTTCTAAAATATTCTGCAGCCAGAAAAAAAATCAACGCAATATCAATACAAAGGTTAACCAGCCTACAAATGAAAAAAGAAGAAACAACATATGAACTGTGGTTTTTAAAGTTAAATTGACTGAGAACTGAGGTAAAATGCTTAATACGCAGCCATGCAACGCTGCGTAATTGGAGATTGTTTTATATTTCTATATCTTATAATCGTATCAATTTTGATGTATATGAACTTGATTTCGTTTTCAATTGTTTCATTCACAAAATCTTTGGCATATCCATTATCTCTGTGATATTGAGGATTTTGCAGAATGGTCGCTGTAGAATAATAATTTGAGTGCTAAAGTGCTCATGCTAAAGGAACTATTTTGATTCAAAGGGCTTTTGAAGTATTCAACATTGTCGGATTTCTTTATGTTTCATGACAATAGTATTTCGGAAACTTGTAAACTAGGATGAGCAACTTTCCTAATTACCTTTCTTTTTCAGGGTTAGCTGAACCTGCAAGAGGACATAGATCCAGTAGAGGAACTTCAACAACGTTCATAACTCCACCAGCATTGATGATTTCGTTATCATTTACAGGCTGTTTTCTCAGGTGATACTGAGGAAGATTACTGCAATAAGATCAAAGTTTCACAATTTTTTGAAACTGGACTATGTGAACTGTGCTATAAGATGTTTATGTGTGTATAAATACTTGACGGAAAAAATGTCAAGGAATTATTAAGATTGATAACCCCTTTTGCTGGTACTGAAAACTACTCTCAACGAAATTTCTTTGAGGAACCGAAATCCTTCGATAGTTGTGTGTCAATTAACGTTTTGTATCTCTCAGTATCATTGATTCCAGGAATATCAAAGGTAATCTGGAGTTTTCAGAGATTGTGTCAGCTCAATGATGTTCCGCTCAAAGCTTGTCATTGTGAAACTGTATCAAATCCAGTCCAAATTTTGCATTTGTAGGCTTCGAATATCCTTGCTTCTGATGTTTCTCAACTGACGATATTGTAATATAATAAGAGTGATTACTTGCTAGTAATTCAGAAAGGGGAGATGAACCCAACAAGTAAATGAAATAATCTGGTGTGCTCAAAGTAATACAAATTATGAAACAACAACAAAAATTAATTGGCGCTCCGGGCCGACTTCATTGCTACCAGTGGCGCATTTGCTTTTTCATCTGCAGGAAAACCCGGAAAAACCTGCAGCACCACATCATCTGAAGATCTTGATCTGCCAGCGTCCTTTTTTTCATAGAATTGAATGTAAGGTGTCTCCAGAGGCTCCAGTAAATTCAAGATATCGCCAGAATATTCAGGAACACGAACGCAAACCAGTCAGTTCCGACTTTGATCAAGGCGTAATAATGACCAAATTCAACGCCAGAACCACAGTGAACTATGACTGCATGAAGATCATAATAGTGGTCTGCTAGATTGAAATGTCCATATATTTCGAACCTTAGTAAGGTCAATTAGAAATAACCTTATATTCACAATACTGTATGTGGAAGTTATATTTTTCCTACTATGTATGATTTCATTGGTGGTATATTTATGTTTGTTTTAATGACAAAAACTGATAATTTGAATATATACTTGCTGATAAGAGTTAAAATGTTGTATTGTCTGAATAAACTTCTGCAAGAGGCCCTTTTTGAGGCTTTGGCTATCATTATCAAAATATACTTTTGCGCAACGAATACATTTGATATCGAAGTCGAGTTACCCACATACATGTGCCATGTCTCAGTTTGGAAGCTACTTGAGCATGGTAGAGTGCCAAAAGTTGCTGATCTGTCAAGATATCTGTTAGATTTCTAAAGAGTAAACCCAATGAGTTAATTGTACTCGTTAAATTCAAACAGTGTTGTTTCCATGTCAAACATGCATCAATGGTAGTTCCCAAAAAATTTGTCTCTTCTTTTCCCAGAATTGACATGTTCTCAATTTGAAATTGAACAGGCACGCAATGTTTTTGTCGATTGTGAAATTTAACCAATTGTGTTTTGTTAGCATTGAGATAAAGAGAATTAGCTCCGGAACAGTTCATAACATATTTCAAAGTATATTTACATTTGTTTAAAAGTGAGTTTTCATCCATGTCAGATACTATTAAAGACGTATCATCGGCATACATTGTTAAAGAAGTAATCCTCATTTTTGATAGATATATGTTTTCTCTTTCGTTCTGCTGAAGTTTCCTTGGTGTTTGTGTATTTCTATTGCTTCTAAATACATTCGTATTGAATTATGATTCGACGTTTTCTCGGTATTTTCGAACAGGATCTTCTGTCCTTCGTCGAATAGTCATGTTCAGGGACTGCAAACTTCTCGGTCTGTCTTCATCGGCAACTGCGCTTGTGCTCGACTAAGCGGGTATCAATGATTCTTTTCGACTGACTGATATAGACTTTACCACATTTACATAGAATCCTGCAAACTCCCGCTGATTTGAGTGGATCTCTGCTGTCTCTCCACAAGATTTACTGGAACTGCCATTTCATCATAAACTGTTCCTCGAGTGTTGAACTTCATTTGGGATAGACTAAAAATTTGTGAAAGTTCTGGAATACTCAGATTCATAACAACATATTTCTGCCAGATGTGATTTTGTGGAAAAAATACTTCAATTCTGTCACCCAATTTCACTGCCACGCATGAAAAAGTTTTGAACGATTTATCCATCGGCAGCTAACATACAAACGCTTTCCACCTGTCGAGTTGAAAGGAATTTTATCGCCGAAAACCGAGAGACAATAACTTATTCAATCTGACCCTACTCGGAAATGAAACTGCTTTCTGTCCAAGAGCACATATTTGATTTATATATAGAGGTCAACATATCGATGAATATCGAGAATCTGAATTTGCATTTGAGTGATTTTATTTGTCTGGATTTGAAAAAAAATCCTCTACGCACCTCTGCTTTCAATGTAACTGAGTTCAATGAATCCATTAGCCTGAAAATATAGAGATAAAAGCAAATCATCACTAGAGGTTTTTTTACTCAAACCAATCTGTTTTTAGCCAGTAAAACGATCAGATGAGAACATTTTTCAGTCCACGTTTTCTTACTGTCTTCACTTCAACATTTCAATCAGTTGTGCTTTCATGTTCATCCTATTATCATGCCATTACATCGAATCAAATGTATGGATCTATAGGAAATGTAACAACATCACTACTTCCCACGCATGATTATTATTATTGAAAGAGAGTCGAACGGTTTCGTCTGAACTTCGTATAATTCGAAGATGATCAATTATCGTTGAACCGAAACTCAAAATATTCGTTTCTATTCCACATTCCCATTAGCGGGCAACTAAAATCGTTCCGTTCGGATTCTACGAAGCTCTGAAAGAAGCAACCGTGGAATCCCATCACCAGGTACAGTTTCCATTATCTGTATCTCTATCTTGTACATCCTCCCAAGGAGTTATCCTCCGAGGTCATCGTCCATTCTGTCCTTTCCAGGAAGGTCACTAGGAGACATATCCTTTATATTGGCAGGTGTAGGCCACGACTCGCCGAGCACACACTCTCTTTGGCAACCTTGAGGTGTCTCACGGTGGCCTCCACGAAGGTTTTGGAAGGTACAGCGACATTACTGTCGTTGCGCGGCTTCTTCAACCTTCTTGGGGTTCCCTCCGTGGAGGTGCACAAGTGAAGGAGCTCTCCAGCAGGGGCAGCCAGTTCCTTGCCTTCATTCAAAGCGGGGCTCTTGACACCTGCCGCAGGAAGTGCCCTTGCTGTTGGAGGGACAGAGCCCCGCATTACCAGAGGTGGGCTGGGCAAGATTTCGCCCAGTTCCCTAAGGAGATTCAGCTGTCGGCACGATTCCTTACATCTTAGCTTGAGTAGGCTGGTCCACGGTGGTATATTATGCAAAGGCTTTTGGAGGGTTTTAGTTTCCCTCGCCCTACTTATTTCTGCCACTGAACAGAAGTCCGGCGACCACGTCAGTAAGGCCACATTGGCAAGCATATTGGTCACAGCAACTTTGTTCTTCCCCGACAGTTCCGATGACCAGATCTGTCGAAGTTTGTACTGATACTTGCCGCGGAGAGAGTTTTTCACTGCTGTTACCTCTTGTGAGTGGCGTTGTTCCACCCCGAGGTAAGTATACGTCTCTTCGGCATCCAGATGGTGTAGGATGCTTCCATCTATTGCACATTTGTCTATCCCGAATTTCATACCGATAGCATGCATGTACTCTTCCACCACCCTCAAGGACTGATGGATATCCTTCTCTGCAGAGGCATAAAGTTTGAGATCATCCATATAAACCAGATGGGTGACCTTGTGCCTCCGGTTTCCGGGGGTGCCACAGTTATACCCTCGAGTATTTCTGAGCGCAACGGATAATGGCAATAGTGAGATAGGAAGGGCGCGCCAGCATTATCAACCAATGACCACTCCCCACACCGTGGGGTAAGTGATCATTTGGGTGCGAGAATCATGTGCCCTGAGCAAGCGCAGTGAGACAAGAATGACAGCCTTCTGCATCTATGCGGCTAAGATTTCTGCCTCAGTGCGGCAAGCCGGTATGATTTTAAAATTCGAGAGTAGAGAGGCTATCATTCCACCAAGGACTCCAATAATCAGAACAACCATCTTGACAGAGTGATCTGGAAAGAGTCTGCAGAGTTCGAAGAGAAAATCTCGATATTTTATCCGTTTTTCCTCCTCTTTTCTGACGATATTCGCCTAGCCAGGAGCTGAAAACTCCACACCAAGTATCGTTTTGCTCTGGCTTATTAGCTTGTATGAGCCTGAGGGTGGGGAACGAATAGTTCCAATAAATTCGGCACTTCTCGTTCCCCACAACGGATTCAATATTCCCCGGAGCGTAGGGCAACACCGGTGTCTTGTCAATACCGTAAGAGTGTTGTTATTATTATTATTATTATCATTATGTATTCACCGTATTTTGAACAATTATGATAACTTTTGATGTTTATATCCTCAGAATGCTACATGAAAATGTTACTTACAAACGGTGACAAGGATTAGTCCATTGTCATTCCAAATTCTGTTGATAAAAGTCCTGAACTGGAAAAAGTTTTTATCAGTACATAAATAACGAAATTCTAAAATAGCTCCTACATTCAGTTTTTTCCCATTTTTGAGATTACCATCATTTTTTAATTCAGTTCTTACAACTCTTCAAGAAAAAAAATCACATATATTCAGGTGGTAATTCGTTTTATTGAGCTGAACTACAGAATTATTCATTATTGCCAACCTCATATATGGAGTTATCCAAAGCACTATTTAAACTCCTCAAAAGTTTTTTTATACTTGTCACACTGGCCCCACTATATTTTTCAGATAAATCTAGTTGTTTGTTTTTATTTCGAGAAAAAGTGTCGCTCTCGCAAAAGTAATTGATTTTAGTTGGTGTATCAAATTCCTTCATCAGAAAAGAAGATTTCAAAACATAATTCTGCAACTGACTGCCATCGAAAGGCCCCTTATTGACATGTTCCTCTTGCTTCACCTTCACATCCTCCTCAGTATTATCTTCATCGTGAGTTATTTTCCGCATTTCTTCACAAAAAGTCTCAATATCCATAATATCTTGCTTCATGGAACGAAACTTTCTTACTTGAGATTCAGAAATATCGATAGCGTCAGCAAAAGGATCGTTGCTTTGTTTGCATGACACATTTTTCATGTCGTACATTTTTATTTTCACCTTGTCTGCTTTACCGGGGGAGTTCGGACTCGATATAGGCGTTGCTCTTATAAAAATGTAATTATTCCCAGGAGAATCTTTGTCTACAGTTGTATTCTTTTTTTTGGGTGGTTGCTCACTTTCAGCCCCAAATTTGTTATTCGTACTGAAAAATTTGTAATTTCTCAAGCGTTCCTCATTTCGGATTCGGTCCTGAGAGTCGTGAATGGATACATGTCGTGGTTCTTTTATCTCAGTCAGTTTGAATCCAGTTCTTTCCAAAGAATCTTCCAGCTCCCTGTCATTGAATGATAAGTCTCTTGGTTGGTAAGGTCTATATTTCTGATTCACATCGGCATTCATGAGCTCGTCCAAGTCATTCATTATTCCTTCTAGAGTTTGATCTGTTTTGACACAGTCATAACTTGTTTTCTCGTATATCGTTTCAATCTCAGATGACTGAGTAAATGTATCATTCACACTTCTGTAGGCGATTTTTGGTCTGCTAAAATATTTATTTTCCAGGGCTTGTAATTTCTGCTTCATTGCATGTATCGTTGTTAAGTATTTCTTCTTGACACAGTCACTGTGTCGATTCTTCTTCTTTGGTTTGTGTGTTGGTACTCTACATCCCTTGGAACTTTCTGCTTGTTTCATTTTCATGGCCCCTTTTATCTGCTCGAGTTGCGCTGCAGCAATATTCAGTTCTTTGTTGGTCTGCTCTAAAAAGCTATTGGGATTTCTATTGACCTCCAACGATGATGTTTTCGTTTCAGGAAGTTCAAGGTCTACTAGTTTTTTCACCAAGTTCTCTGTTGAAGTAACTGTGTCTTCTGCTTTCTTACTGTGTTGGCTTCTTGTGTTTCTCAAAATAGAAATAACTGGTTTTTTGGTGGGTTGTATTATAGCTTGTTCCGAACCCAGTAGGGGCATCTCCATCCGTATTGTTTTCAAATCGATCAAAGGCCTCACATTTTCTGTGCTTGAATGCTTTTCTTTCATCTCAATATGGTGTGTCCATAATTTTCAACAATATTTTTAAGAGCATACACTTTTTCAAATGTTTTTGTCTGTAAAACTTCAAATAGTTGGTTTTAAATTGTTATCCATTAAAAAACTTTGTGTTTCATCTTCTCTCGAATTTTTATTCGGTTCTATGATGAGCTGTCACGAATGATAGGAAGCGTTGTCAAGAACCATTACTCTATTCGCTTTCAAATTTGGGATCAATGCGTTCTCAAACCATTCTTTGAAAATATCAGCTTTCATGTTCATTGCAGTCGTCAAGTTTTTTCCACATAATTTCAAAGAATTCGGAACCCATCCTTCACTTCCTCCGCAATGCACTCCGCAATGATTAGTCGCGATCCTTTGTTTGCAGGCATGTTAGGCATACACATTCTCGAACCATCAGTCCACCCTTTCCTAATTGTGTCATGTGTGTCATACCAAGTTTCGTCCAAATAGAAAATTTGCCGTTCTTGTCTATATTTAGTTATTTGTTCTGATTATTTGTTACGCAATTCCACCACTCTTCTGCTTTCCTCAACTGCTTGACGTTTGTTTATTATTTTAAATCTAAATCCTGGTTTCTTTACCTAATTCTGAAGAGTTTTGTCAAAGCAGCTCACGTTATGACCAGAAGTATTCAATTTCTTCCTTATAATTTCAGTTGCAGGAATCTCATTACTTTTATAACAGTCGTATATTGATTTTTTTCATTGATTTTATTAGATGAACATCTAAAGGTTTTGGTAATCCTGTATCACATCGCGTTTTGCGTTCAAAAGGTTCGTTTTTGACTATTTTACGTACAGTTGAGGAAGGCATTTCGGTCAAATCTGATGTTGCTTGTAATAGTTTGTTTCCTTCGAAACATTGAAACATTCTCTCTGTGTTTCAATATCAAGTACTAATAATATCACACTCGTTATTATTATTTGTACTTTCTTTAGTAAATTTTGTATAGGAAGGTGTAATTATGCTTTGTTGTATTGCAAAGGTGGACACATTCAGCCTGAATTAATTACGTGAACATTATTAATCTTCCTTTCGAAGATGATCACTTGGTGATCGAAAAACGTAATGAGAAGGTGTTAAAATAACGGTTCGGTGTTGGGAAAAAACTCCAGTAATATTCAACATTATTAATGAAAAGTTTCTGATTCATGAAAATATTTTTTGTGAAAAGAATCTGATTTATTTTCTCTTATTTTTTCAGAAATCAAAGTTGGGCCGATTCCTCCCCACCACAACCAAGTGATTCTGGGAGGTGAGTATTGTTTTATAATACATGATTCAACGTCTAGATGTTGTTTGGAAAGAAACATGAGTTATTCCTGAAAATTAATAAATTCACTCAAAAATGTTACTATTTTCGAAAGACATTCAGATTTTTCACCTATAGTCAGTGGGCATACTTGAAGACTGGCTATAAATTGAATCATCTATCTCTCTATAGAGTAGGGAGGGTGAATGTAAGCCCACATCACTTAGGCCACATGTGACCCATTGTACATCCTCCCAAGGAGTTGTCCTCCTAGGTCATCGTCCATCCTGTCCTCTCTAGGAGACATCTCCTTTATATCGGCAGGGGTAGGCTAAGACTTGCCGAACACACACTCTCTTATTGACGATAACTTCGGGCACTCGCACAGGACATGCCTAACAGTCTCATCTTTCTGTTCACACATCCTGCATAGAGGTGTGTCCACTAGCCCTATATTGTGGAGGTGCTTCCTTAGTTGACAGTGGCCAGTCAAAAACCGTAATGTTAAGCGTAGATTTTTTGTGGTCATCGCCAGATATTTCTTTGGCGCCAGCTTTCCAGGGTCGCCAAGGGTGATCCTGACAAAATTGCATCTTTTGATTCCATCCCATCTCTTAAGGAATTGTCGAAGTCATGAAGCCGTAGGTGCCACTGGGTCCTAAAATTCTTAGTCCAACCGCTTCCTTGGCTAAAGAGTCGGCAATACGATTACCTTTACTCCTGTCGTGCCCTTTAACCCACCACAGGATAATGTTATTATCTACCTAGGCTTTAATTAAATCTTGGTGGCACTCTAGTACTAGCCCTGAGGTAACATGTTGTCTGTTCAAGGCTAATAGGACTTATCTGCTATCAGTGTAAGTTGATGGACTGCTACCACGAAGGGCGTTGGATTATATCCGACAAGTGTCAGTGCAGGATTCTTCACTGAAGTCATTCCTGCATATGTTGTTGGCTATACATCTGCGGCAATAGATTTTCAATTATTGGAGCACACTTGCAGACCGGTTTCGGGCTGTTTGAACACTCGTCAGTGCATGGTAATAATAATAATAGCGTTGCGCTCAGAAATACTCGAGGATATAACTGTGGCACCCCCGAAAACCGGAGGCACAAGGTCACCCATCTGTTTTATATGGATGATCTTGAACTTTATGCCTCTGGAGAGAAGGATCTCCATCAGTCCTTGAGGGAGGTGGAAGAGTACATGCATGCTATCGGTATGAAATTCGGGATAGACAAATGTGCAATGGTTCATCTCAAAAGAGGA